CAAAAAAAAGAAACTGTCCAGATGACCTGACTGAAAAATGTTGGATTGTATGCCTGGATTATTGATCATGGACTTTGTTGTTTTTGGTAATGGTTTCAAATCCAACAGAGTGAACATGAGAAAAGGAACAGCAAACATCTGTGTTGCACTTTCAGACAATATAGGAAATTGGACAGTTCATATCCTTTAAAGGTACATTCCTCAACATGGTAAATTAATATTTTTCTAGTGTAGGTAGCACTTTGAAAGAGTTTATTTCTGACTGGATTGACGAGCCAACAATAAATCCAAGATGGACCAAGACCCCAATGGATTGCTATTGTCTTAAACTTAAAGCAATTCAAATGTCAAGAATTGCATCACCAAAGGCTGTTTAATACGTCTCTATGTTGATGTCCAGTTCACATTACACTGTTAATTTTAACTTTTGTTATGGTTATTTGGAAGCACAAACAATTGCATTAGCTCACTGAAGCACTTCAGGTGCAGTCTGGTGTTTCGCTTGCGAGAATATTTGTGGGGATGGACATTTGAAACAAAATCACTCTTGAAATTTGGTAATAGATGTGTCCAGAAAATTACAGACTGGAAAAGCACTGGAATTTGTTGTCACTACCAGGAGCCAGAGTAGTGACTTCAATATGGTCACATTTATACTTCAAATTTGCCAATTTTAACTAGACTTAAAATTTAGAAAATCACTGTCCATCCCTTTTCATATCTACTAGAATAACAGGGCAATATGAAATTGATGACCTTGTAGAAGTTCTTTAATTAGCATTCACATGATGAAATATCTGTGGTTTAAATTACTTTGAAACGGCAGCAATCCATTTAGTTTTTGGGACGGTTCAAGACTAGTCATTAGCTCATCAGTTCAGTCAGAGATAACTCTTGTTTCCATTGAGTGAAGTTATTCACCGAGCCATCTGCAACAGGTAGGATAATGATCGCTCGCAACTTTTCTACAGAACCCTGCTTAAAATTATCTAATCCATGTAATCACTTAAAGCTTTCAAAGTTCGCTCATATTAGAAATTGGTTGGCAGTTTGAAAAAGTAATAAACCTCTCCTATAAAATAATTATTGAAAATATTAAATAACTTCTTGCTCACTTTGTAGACTCGTTGTTCTAACTTTAGTGTGAGAATGAATAAAGCCAAGTAAATATTTAGGGTATTTGATGTTTACAACACAACATGATAAAGGTTGAAAATAAAGTGCACAGATTTGCTTTTTTCATTTCTGTCATGCGTGTGTGTACAGGGAAGTGCAGAAACGAACTGAAACAAAAAGAAAAATCGTCAAGAAACACTTTAAGAAGAGATGGCTCAGACTGACCAACAGGGAGCTCTCCTACCACAAATGTAAAGGTGAGTCCATCAAAGCCGAGTCCATCCTGCTGCGACGGGAACGATGAGTCCTTCTCTCAAATAAATTGCGCACCTAACATTTTCAGGGGTTTTATTACTTTATTTATTTATTTAAATGATTTTCCACATTTGTATTTGCCTTTTCACAATAATTTGTAAATCATGAAAGGCTTCTTCTGTAACTTTTTGTTTTAACATTTGTAGTTGATTATTGCAATCAGCATAAAAATGACAGAAATGCTTTCTGCTCGACAGGGAAAGAGGCCCTCTGCACCATCGACATAAAAAATATCAGGGCGGTGGAGAAACTGGATGAAAGTGCCTTTAACCGCAAAAATGTGAGCCATTTTCCCTGCGATGTCTCTGCCATCACCAAATCTGTTTCCCCTTTTTGAAAGAGAAGTAGCGTCGGGATCAGTTCCTTGAGCTAAAACAAATACAGAACAGGATACCGTTGTTAGTCTCTTGAGCATTTAGTGACGTTTTAAATGATTTTCAAAATATTTCAACAGTAGGGTTTTCAAGGCTTTTAAACAAGGTGAGTTTAAAAAAAGGAAATGTTGAAATTGTTAATAAAACCAGATAAATTGCATTTCCTGTGAAAATACAGTGTGAATGCTAATGGCAGAAGAACTCTCTGAAAAACAGCAGACATTAGCTAAAAAAACATTCTGAAATGTAGCTGAAATAGAAAAACAAGCCTAATAATAAGCTGAAATTAACAGCAATAATTTAATTAGGCTGAAAGTAGCAGAAGTTACTCAGAAAAACTTGAATTTTATCTGAAAACAGCTGAAATTAGTTAAAAATACTAACAAGCTAGCTGAACAAGATTAATTTAGCAGAAGAAAGCAGAAAGAATATGTTTGCCCAGTTAGGCTGAAAGAAGCAGAAATGACCACAAAAAAGTGGAAATTATCTGAAAAAAGCTGAAATAGGTAAAAAAAAAAAAAAAAAAACAGCTGAAAAGTAGATAAAAAAGCAGAAAGGACCTTCAATTAGCAGAAGGAAGTTGAGAGAGCACATTTTTGCTGAATTAGGCTGGAAAAAGTTGAAACAAGTGCAAAAAATTTGGAACTACAATAGCTGAAAAAGCTCAAATAAGCATAAAACAGCTAAATAGTAGCTGAAATAGTAGAATAAGCTGAAACTTGCAGAAATGGGCTGAAAGAAGCATAACAAGCTGAAATTAGCAGAAAGAATATCCTGATACATGCTCAATAATCCAGGTAGAAAAATCCAAAAAAGTTCAATCTGGTCCTGTGGACATTCAAAAAACAAGAAAACAAAACAAAAGCAAAAAAAACAAATGTAGAAACGTTTCGTCTCTCATCCGAGAGACTTCCTCAGTCTGAGGCGCT